ATCAAACACTAGAATAAATGATCTTAAAGACTAATATGCAATCAATATAAATGGGAATGACAGAGACTGTGGTTAAGTGGAGAACACTTAAATCAGCAAGATGATATCAAAGAAGGTTGAAGGAAAATGTAGTTATGATGTGGGATGCCCTTCTGTACATATGTTGCTTTTATTGGTTAATGAATAAAGCTGCTTTGACCTATGGCAGGGCAGAATATAGCCAGGCTGGAAGAGATATAAAGAGAGTAGGTGGAATCAGGGAGATGCCATGTAGCTGCCCAAGGAGAAAGATGCCACTGGAACCTTCCTGTTAGGCCACAGCCTCATGATGATATACAGATTAATGGAAATAGGTTAATTCAAGATGTAAAAGAAACCTGAGCTAATAGCCCAAACAGTATTGTAATTAATATTGTTTCTGTGTGATTATTCGGGTATGGGCGTCCACAAAACTAAATGCAGTCTCTGCCTACACAGTTAGGTAAAGGAAAAATTTTGCATTTGCACTTATCAGTAGGACTGGATCCACAGCTGTCAATGTTCAACTCCAACTGGAAAATTGGATTAAAATAAGAAGTAAGTCCTAAGCTTAGTAAATATAGAGGTAAATTGAACTGGTATAGTGTTAGATGTTACTAAAAACATATGGAGACCAAGTATGGCTCCTGTCTTGCAAACATTTAATCAGAAAGTTAAAAGGTTATGGATATGCAAGAACAACTCTTTTGCCCTGCAAGTATATTGTATATCTGTTTAACTTTTATACAGATGCTAATAACTGAGGTTTGGAAAGAAGCTAAAAGCTATGGCAAAGGCCATTATCGCAATGGCCAATTGAGCATTTGTTCAGTTCCTTGTCAATCAACCTGCCCTTTACACCCAGTGGAAGTAGCTGATGAAGGCCATGATAGGAAGGTTTTATGGAGGCTGCTACACACAGGGAGGCAAGAAATAATGGTGTAATGATAATGGTAGCGAGGGCTAACTTTGCTACATAAGATTAGTCAGTCCTGTGACTTTCACTTGATTCTCCACCCACCAACCTCATCTATAGGCAGTGAACTTCTATGGGAACCAGAAATCCAGTTCTCAGATAGAAGCAAACATGTTGAAAGGGCTGTCAGTTGTCCTAGTGGTGAGGCAGAAGGCTTAGCCTTTATGTGAGGGTGCACAGCTGCTGCCTGCCCCTGAAGCATAGGACAGTCATGTGCTCTAGATGATTTTTTTATGCTCTGTGAACTTCATCTCCCTCCTTTGTAAAATGTCCTTCTGGGTGCATTGGATTAGCGTGAAGATCAAGGGAAATGAGATAAGATGGGGCATGTTTTGTGAGTTTCTGGTAATGATTACCCCAAGTGGCAAGATGAGGTAACTTCTGTCACCAACAGGAGCCACAGGGCCCCTGTATCCTGGGCCATTCGTGTCAGGATGGTTGTTTCAATACATCCAGGGCTCCTGGTTCTTCCAGCTGTTAGGAAACCTCTTGGTGAAAAGTACATTGATTTTTGAAAATGTCAGCTAACGTGGTCATTTATCAGCAATCTGAGTCAATAACACAGCTACTCAAAAGAATTACTTTCAGGTTCATTCATAGAGTTTTTAAAATGTTTGGACTAGAGTGTCCATCCTAAGGCAAGCACACACATACACACACACACACACACACACACACACACACACACACACAGATGATAGCATAGGGATGGGGGGTCCACAGGGCCTTGAGTTAGAGGCCAGACTCTATCAGTTTTTCACCAGGGAGGGGACCACAGGCAAAGCAAACCACTTTCTTCTCCTCAGTCATCCATAAGATGGGTACTTAGCTCATGGGTCTCCTGAGGATTAGATGTTAGTGCTTAGCTATGGCACCATGAGTGTTCCCAATAAAAATAAACTTGCAGATTGTGCAGACTCCAACATGTGCTTGAAAAGTAGCAGTCCTGACCTGGTTTCCTTACATCTTTACCAATGGGAGACATGTTTATCATATTTTCAGGCTTCTTGAAAGAACATGGTAGGGACAATATTGCATTCCTAATTATGAGATGGAGTTGTTGCTCTTGGTGCAAGGGTTGCCAAATCAAAGAATGGACTCTTCTGTTCTGCAATGCGTTGACGGATCTTGTCTGCCATCAAATTACCTCCCGGGTTGTAGCATGTCATATCAAGCCTCCCATCAGAACCATTCACAGGCCGTCAGTAGATGTGAAATTTTTGGCACACAGCAACAGCTGAGGTGTATTTTTAAGTACTCCGTCTGGCAGCTCAGCAGAAAAAGGAGAAAGAAAGAATAGGCTACCGCCAGCAGACTTCCCTCCAGCAAATGTTTCTTCCCTATAACCTGTCTACCCCTTTCAAGGAAAGAATAGGTGGAGACAAGCTACATCAAACATGAGCAGTCATGTTACCTAGCAACCAGGAGTCGGGTTGTAAGCTAGACATGCCCACTTCTGGAGGACCAAAGCAAGGAGGCAAAGAGATAGTTCCTAGACGTATCACTTGCTCTAGGAACAGGAGCATCTTGGTCCCAGTGACTTTCATGGTCAGTTTGGAAAGATGTTGATGCTTTTTTTGCATCTCTGTTTCTGAGCTTGCTTTTGGCAGCTCAGGACAGAGAGGGAGGGCTGGCATTTACAGACATGGCTAGCACAGGTGGCTTTTCTCAGACCACTCTCTGCCCTTCCAGACTTGCTGCCCCTTTAAAAAGGCTTTTATTTTGAGACCATTCTAGATGAAGTTGTTTTTTTTTTTTTTTAAAAAAAAAAATCACCCAAAAAGATCAAACACACCCATTAGCCATTTTCTCCTAGTGGCAATAGTTTGCAGAGTTGCTACACCTCATCACAACCAAGAGGTAGGCATCAATAGGAACCTCCTTGATGCCAGTTTTGCCTGCGCTGTGCCACCAAGGTTCAGGAGAAAAGACATCTGTTCTCTTGATGGAATAAAAGGAATTTCTTTCTCTTTCTGGATAGCTTTGATCAACATCAGCTGTAGACGTGGCCTAGAGCAAAAGTCTCCCTATCTCAAAGATGTGTCCATGTTTACAACGCCCTCCTTCCGCTTTGTCTTTCTCCCTCGGTTTCACCTTTTGCTCTGCCACCTGACTGAAAGATTTGGGACGTAACAGGGTCACATTGAGATTTCAGACCCAGTCCAGCAGCTCATGTTTCAGATACTCTAAGTCCATGTCCTTTGTGCGTTTGACTGCTGAAGGCCAAATCCTCCTGAGGTCAAAGAGCTTGAAACGCCAACAACTACTTTCCTGATATTTTCATTGCTGCTAAAATGTCCAGCTTAGGGGTGTGGTTCTGTGTGTCTCCCAGGGAAGGTGGGAATGGAGAAATGACATCCCCACAAGGAAAGCTGTTGTTTGCCTGACAGAGTTGTTTTGTGAGTTGGGTAACTCTGTGGCCGCAGTAACAATGCCACAGCAGAAAAGGTTCAGGTTTCACCTCTAAACAACCAGATCGTCAGCCTGGCATCAACCAGCTGAGTGACAAATGACCTCCCCTTTTAGAACCACCTTTTCTTCCTGTCTGCTGTAGGAGTTCCTACTGTCAGTAACCTTTAAGTTACCCGCCCACTTGAGTGTGGCCTCTTATACTATGTAGGCCCATGTAAAGCATGCCTCAGGCCTCTTTCCTGGCTGCAGGGTTCGGTTGCTGTTCCCCATTCCAGCAGAGGACTGTGGTCTGTGCGTCTACCTTTAAATAAATAACCCTCTATTATACTCAGTTCTGAGCTAGGGTGGGACTTCTTTTAAACATCCTTCTTCACCTGGTGACAAAATCAGAGAAAAAGATGCCAGTTTGTCAGACACTGGTGAAGTTTCAGTGAGGAGGGCAATGAGTCTCAAGCTTAAGCCTTCACCAGCATTTCCTTGGACGATGTGAAAGGCCCATCCCCAGAGTTTGCGATTTGGGAGGTCTGGGCTGAAGCCTAGTAACTTGCATTCCTACCAAGGTCATGGTGCATGTTGCTTCTGCTACTTAGTTATGGAGTCACGTATAAGAGACCCCTATAGTCCTTGATGCTATCATACTTTAGCAAACCTCAATATAAAGGCTTATAGTGCCGGACAATATCCTAATATTGGGTCTTTGTGAGGAGAGGTGAGTTCCCTGCAAGAAGGAAGGATTAAGATACCCTTCACGTATATAGCCCATGCCCATAACTTTCTAGAAATAGCTGTCCTGGTAGACAGAAAGCCACCCCTAAGATAGACGTGTGTAACAAGATGCTGGGATGTTTTCAAGCATGCTGGACATGGGCACACAGCTGATTTTGTTGTTTTCCTGTTTAAAAGTAATGCCATGAAATGGCGGCAACAGTTCGGTGATTGTTTGCCACCACCCACACCAAGCAGGTCACAACCGCCTGTAACTCCGGCTTTGAGGGATTTGGGGCTCTCTGCTGGCCTCTACAGACACCCTTTGTCCACAGACACACACGCGTGCGCGTGCACACACACACACACAGTTCTTTGTGGGTGTCTGCATATACACCTATACGCATAAGGGCCCCCCCACCCCGTCTCTTGCGAGCCAGCTGTATCCCACGGCAGACCTCTTCTGAGACAGGCCTCTTCTGCTCGTTGTCTTTAGCATGTGCACGTAGGAGAGGGTGTGGGAGAAAGAAGCACAAGGAAACAAATGTTCTTAGAAGAACTGCAAAGAGCCTCTCATTAGAGAAGCAAATTAAAATATTTCAATCCCCGGGCTATTTTCTTTAAATACACCAAATTGCATCAGCTCTTGATAGAAAACTAAAGTGCAGTCTTTATAAAATTATCTTTTTTTTCTTTAAAAAAAAGTACTGATGTATTTCACTTGTGCTATAAGCATAAAAAGAAAAACATGCTAAATATTATTTCTTTATCACTAAAGAGGCTTTTTGGGGGGGGGATAAGAAACCCAGGTGTAAACCTGAAGGATTATTTTAATAATCTTCAGCATTCTAGATTTACCGACATCAAGTGTAACATCAATTTTGTTTTATTAGGTTTTCTAGTCTCCTTCCCTGCCCTGACTTCCGTCATTCTCCCACCCTCTGAGAAACCTCAGATATTCAGTTCTGACCCCTTCAGACAGAAGGTGCCGTTGAGTCCGAGCTTCCGCAAGTGGGGCAGTAGGGTCCATTTTTAGCAGGTGATGTTGAACGAGCATACATTCCAGAAACCTCACCAGCCTTACTTTTCCATGAAAAGCTTGCCGACTTTGAAATATGCTGGTATATCAGAATTTGAGGGACTTGCCTTTTCAACCTTGGATGGCATCTTGAGCTTGGCTCTTTGTCCTCCTAATCCGAGATTATTTCGGACCATTCTCCCACTGTGCGTTATATAATGTCTGCAAAGTACAGAAGCAGGATGGTGAGGCAGGCAGGAGCCAGACTAGAAAAGCCCTCCGTGTTCCCCAGAGCTGCTAATCTTCTTGTAAGCCTTCTCCCCTACCTCTCGCCCCCACAAGGATCCAGCAGAGGGGAGCTTCATATTTACAAGGAAGCTATTTATTGATTTAGCAATTCAGTCAAGGAATGGGGTTAGGGTTTTACTCTTAGCAGTTCAAGTATGCCTGTTGGTGTAAGTCAGAGTGACTATGTTAGTGTTGCTGCAAAGTGCCCACTCTGTCTCTGCCTATTGACTCTCTCTAAAAGTAATGTGTATTCGTCGGGAAAGGGGCAGAGCAAATGCCGTGTGTTTCTCATGTGTGGCAGAGAAACATTTCTCATGTATGCATTCCAAAGTTCCTGATCCACAGTGGCTGAGGTTCTGGGCTCATTATCTCAACCATGACACCTGACTTCCTAATTCACAAACTCAGCCCCTGCCCAGAGTTTATTTCTCTGCCCGAAAACAAAAGTCTAATAAGGAAAGACAATGTCTCCCAGTGATCCTGTATATAATAAGCAGATTAATAGGTCAAACCCAGGCTTGAGTCATGAGAAATTTGTCGTTGTCTAGGTATATATTCATTACTTACTTACTCAAGTCCTGCTGTGTCTTAAACTTGATGTTTAAGTCTGCAGCTGGGAATAAGAGGCGTCCGTTCCCTACCCTTGCAGAACCTTCATTTAACACAGAAGACAGATGCTGAATTAATAATTTAATGTTTAAAGAAACCTCTAAAAGGAACTGGTAACAATGGAGTGGTAGGCAGAATTACAAGAGTGACCCCTGATAACTCTTTCTCTCACACGGACCTCACTGCTTTGCTTGCGGGTAGAACCGGTAAATGTTAGCTATCGATCTCTTGAGTGTGTTCAGTTTTATGGCCCAGTCATCCCGATGATCCTGGTCTAATTATAGGAATCATTTAAAAGCAACATGTTTTCTTCAGCTGTGACCACAAGGAATGTCTGAGGAATGCCAGTCTTAGGAGGGATATCAGGCAGAATCCCTAGAGAGTACAGGAGCCATGAGATGAATGCCAGGGGCCTCCAGATCCTGAGTGGGTGTGGTCTCTGGCTGACACACTCATTGTATAACACGCTGCACTCTCCTCGCTCCTGAGCAAAGTTGAAAGTGAGTTCTTCCAAAGTAAGTGTCAGCCCTGGCTATCACATGAACTCAACCCCGCCAGGTTTCCATGGGTTGCCCAAAAAACATATACTGAATTGCTGACCTCCTGTTCCCTGAGGGTGTATCTGTTGTCATGAGAAGAAGGTTCTCTGCAGATTTATTAAAGCTAGGATGAGGTGTTAGGATAGAACCTCAATCTAGCATGAACAGTGCCCATGTGAGAAGACTGATTTTGATGCAGACACGAAGGAGGGAAATATCACATGAAGATGCCGAGACACCAACGTGGGCGGAGGCATGTGAAGTGTAGACGGGATTAACACTATGTTGCCACAAGGCTAGTACCTAAGGTGACTGGATTCTGGGAGTGCCAGAGTATCTGGGATGGTATTTCGAGAGACTTTGCAGGTAGAATGCTTTGGTGATGTACTGGTGACTATAGCCACCTTCCCACCCCTCTCATGATCTCTAAGTTGTATTTCAAATCTCCAGCATTTACAGAGAATGAGTTTCTGTTAATAGCAACCTAGTTTGTGGTCCTTTGTTCCGGCCGCCTTAGGATACTAACATCGAACATCAAACACAGGGGACCAGAGGAGGTCATCCAGACTTCTGGTCTCAGAACTAGGATGTGAGAAGGAGTCGATTTAAGCCCCTGATTTTAAGGTATTTGTCATGTGGAATATAGGACCGTTAACGGGGAAGAGTACAAGTGTCCCGCGCTTTTCTGCAAATCCTCACACCCGATACAGGGTGCGCTTCCCATATCGGACCATGAGTCTGGATCAATATCCTAGGAGTTGAAAACAGACACACGACACACAGAGAGACCAGATCATTTGCCCAAAGGATAAATGTCAACTTTAGCACATGTAGGCTTATATACTTGGAGGCAAGAGGACGAGAGCCCCCTCCCACCTGGGAGTGAGAAGAGGGGTGTTGGCTGCATGGTGCCAGCCGGAGCCTCCATGTAGGGGGTATCAAGCTGGGAACCCTGACAGACAGATGGGAGGAGATTTAGGGCGCCTGTGAGGACCTTCTTAGCAGGTGAAATTATCATAGCAATGACAGAAACAAGGCTTTGAACTAATTCCCTCCAGCTGGCAGAATGAGCAGGGGAAGCTGGTTAGCGTAAACAATTCTTGCATCCTGTGCTTTGGCCTCCAGGAACAGGGAAGACAGGGCCCTACATTCAAGAGGTGGTTGTACAACAGCGGTGATTCAGATGACAGAGACACGTGAGTAGTAGCTACATAACAAGAAAGGAGGAGTGAAAATTGGTCCAAACAGGGAACTGAGCATGTTAAGTTCCGAAGGCAGCAGAGAGATAACCATGTGCGCATAATTCAACTATTCTGGCTTTTATCCTTCAAATGATACCACTTTCAAGGGCAGGCCTATACAAGGTGACGTCAGTCTTACAAAGCTCATGTTGTAGTAAGAGGCATTCCAGCACGCAGACTAAGAAACAGTTACCGTTATTATATGGGCTTTGAAGAGACCCACATGGAACTGAGACAGAAGCCCGCTGGATGTTGCATGGGATATTGAACATGGAAGCAAGAATGGAGTAATGGTCTGGAGAGGGGGAGCTGCTATGAGCCTTCCCTTTTAGGTTTTGGGAAGATTTGTCTCCTATAAAAATGCATAGTCACCATGATTTGCCATCATTTCCACATTCTGTATAGTAGCTGCCTCTGCTTTCTTGTTGAGGCTAGCACATAAAATTCTGGACTAACTTAATACAGGATTGTATTCCTGGGATAGTGATTCTGGCCTGATCCCTGAACCATCTACACCACAGACAGCCATTGTTTCTCTCACTACAGTCTACATATGTGTGCACATGTGTCTGCGTACACATGCACGCTTCAGGGCACCTTAAGACCACTTCCTTTCGATGACCCATTGAAAGCACTCACAGCACAGGAAACCCATGAGGAGTCCAGGAGAGTTCATTGGACAGCATCCCTGTAATCTCCCAGGGAAGCCACAGGGCGTTTCTTTCTTCAAAGGTAGCGTGTGATGCACAAGCAGAATATGGCTAAACAGGGCTCACACACGCCTTTATCTATAGGGTTTTCTTCACGTGGGGATGGAGTGCCCATGTGACAGATGTTCGGTGGTCAGTGTCAGGATCAGTTCTCCCTTAATTCTGTGGTTATGTTGGGGCAAATACTCTGGCATGGCTCAAGCTCCAGATTCTTCCTCACCCCAAACTTGGAGGGATGGTTCACCGTCTCCTTGGAATACGAAAAGCTTAAGTATCTCAGACCTTCTTAATGAGCCCTTTCATGGACCTCAGAGAGAAAGCGGGAGCAGATTGTCATTGAAGATTATCGTCTTGAAGTTCTAGCCAAAACAATAAAAATAATTTTGTAATGCCTTTTTATATTTCTTGATGCAGTGGTTTAGACAATATAAATTCACACTGAAAAAAAAAAACGTGAATGTGTTTGAGAACATTCCCCCACTTAATGCTGATAATTTACATCTATTCAACTGAGCAGATAGAAGCATACAGTTCACTGCATGCTGGCAAATGTGTGCACTCACACAGAGTCCGTGCTTCCTTCAAGATGGAGACTATTTTGACCTCTCAACCAAGTTCTCACCCACCCTTTCCAAGCCAGCTTCTCCCCAGCCATTGACACCATTTCCTAAAGCTAATCGCTGTCCTTACTCCTTTCACCAAGAGTTAATTTTAGGAGCCAAAGAAGGAACTCAGTTGGCAATGTGCTTGATATTCAAGCATGCGGACCCACATAATAAACAAACAACAACAAAAAATGGCCATGGTAGCTTGTGACCTTGGTACTGGGGAAAGGAAGACAGGCAGAGCCTTGGGCTCACTGGCTGGCCTATTTAGAGAACTCCATGTCAGAGAGAGGCATGTCTCAAAAGGCAAGCTGGAGAGTATGGAGTGTACCCGAGGAACAACATGCAAAGTTGATCTCTGGTCTCTGTACCCACGTACATGTACCTGCATGAACACTCACATACGTATACATGCAAGACTTGACTAAAAATGATGTAAGATGGCCGTAAACTGGTGAGGTGCCGCTGTATTGTATGTGCCAGTCATTTGTTTCCTTTCCCTTGACCCTTAAGTAGTATAATTATTTGATTGTGCTTATAACACAGTTTATCCATTTTGCTTTTTATGGACATTTGAATGTTTCTAGTTTGGCTCTATAGAATAAAGTTACGGTGTGTGTTCGTATGCAAGTTCTTGGCGAACATATTTAAAAACAAAACAGTGGGTTTCATTGTGACATTTTCATACATGAGAATAACATACTTTGATCAGGATCATCCCTTGTTTGCCCTGCATATTCTCCCTCCTCCTCCCCCAATGCCTTTTTTATAATAGCCACTCATTCTTTTTCCTGCTTATTTTTAGTCTGTTGTATTCATGTGTGGTGTGGGGTGGGCGGGTGTGGAGGGGGTGCAAGCATGTATAAGTGTGTTTCATGCCTGCAGAGGCCAGAGGAGGCTGTCACGTGTCCTGTTTTGTCATTCACCTTATGACCTTGAAACAGTCTCTCACTGAATGGGGAGCTAGGCTGGCAGCTAGACAGTCCTGGTGATCCTTCCATCTCTTCCCTCACAGAGTGCCATGACTTGAGGCACAAAACCACACTGAACTTGCCCTGTGGGAGCCTGAGATGTGAACTGAGGTCCTCATGCCTGTGCAGAAATTGTCATTAACCACTACATCATTTCTCAAACCCCACAAGTATTTTTTTCTATATTACACGGATGAGAAAACAATACTTTTCAATTTTAAGTCTAGCTTCCTTAAAATGTTTTCCACTTCTGTCTTTTTCCTGAAAATGGCATTTTCTCCTCTAGGATTTCTTCCACTGTGCATATGGACAAAATTTTCTTGTTTGTTTTGTTTTGTTTCCATTTTTTTTTTTTTGTTTCTTTCTTTGTTTGTTTGGTTTTTGGTTTGGTTTGATTTTGGTTTTTCGAGACAGGGTTTCTCTGTTGCTTTGGAGCCTGTCCTGGAACTAGCTCTTGTAGACCAAGCTGGCCTCGAACTCACAGAGATCCGCCTGCCTCTGCCTCCTGAGTGCTGGGATTAAAGGCATGCGCCACAACTGCCTGGCTCAGACAAGGTTTTCTTTATCCACACACCTGTTGGTGGCCGCTGAACTCATTCTATGTCTTGACTTTTATCAAGCACCATGGTAAATACAAGTTCATTTTTGTGGTGTGATGGCTTTTCCCTTCTTCTTCATCTTGAACTGATAGATCTTAATCACATGATATTTCAATTTAGTTTGTTCTAAGGAGCCTCCCTGTTGATACCCACAGTGACTGCCCTAATTTCCAGTCCTACCGTCAGTGAGTGAGCGTTTTAAGAGTTCCTTTCCCCTTCTCATCCTTGCCAGCATTTTATCTGTATAGGCATCTTATGGGGTAAGATATAATGTCAGTATAGTTCCGATTTGAATTTTCCTGATGATGGAGATAGTTAGCATATTTATGCATGGTTAGCCATTTGTATTTTCCGGGAACTTGCTTTTTGAGACTCAGTCTTGCCACATAGCCACGACCAGCCTGGAATTGTCTAATGTAGTCCAAGCTCATTCAAGCTCATGGTAATACTTTTGCCTTGGCCTCCCGAGTCCTGGGATTATAGACATAAACAACTACACTCTGCTTTGTAATTAATTTTCCAAAGTGTCTATGGAGGTTTTTGCTGACTTATTGACTGCATCATTTGTTCTCCTGTTATTTTACTTTAGGTATTTACATATTTTGTACATTAATCCTGTTAAAGTAATAGGTGAAAAAGATTTTTTCCTCCAATTTTATAGCCTGTGTCTCAATTTTTAAATGCTTTTTCTCTGGTAGCCTCAAAGATTCAGACTTTGCATTAAGGTCTCTGATCCTTATTGGACTGATTTTTTTTTTTTACAGGATGAGTTACAGAGATCTAATTGTATGCTTCCACATTGAAATTGCTAGTTTTTCCATGGACCATTTGTTAAAGAGGTTGTATTTTCTCCAATATGTGTTTCTTAGCACTTTTGCTAAGAATCATATGGAAGTAACAGCATGCACTTATTTCTGGATTCCTTACTTCATTGGTCTGCATATCTGTTTCTGTGCCAGAATTGTGCTATTTTGGATACTATGGCTCAGTAGTGTAATTTGAAGTATTTTGATGCCTTCAGCGCTGTTCTTTCTATGCAGGACCTCACGTTGGCTCCTCAGGTTTGGATGTCTTTTTCAAAGCCTTCCTTTGGTGTTTATAGGTTTTATTACAGAGACCTTCACTTTTCATGTTAAGATTTATTCCTAGGTTGTTCTTATTTTCCTCATATTTTTCTCAGCCTACTGGCAGGTAAAAATTAAAAAAAAGAAAAACTACTGATTTGTCTATGTTGCTGAGTTGTCAGTAATATAAATTGGTGCAGCCACTGTCCAGTCATGGTGGAGTATCTGGCTTACATCATCTGCAAATAGGGTTAACTTGACTTCTTTTATCCCTATTTGTATACTGTTTTTTTTTTCTTTTGCTGTATTCCTGTGGCTAAAAATTCAGACATTACACTGAATAAGAATTGTGGTCTTTGTTTCATTTCTATTGCTGTGATAAAGACCATGACCAAACGCAATTTTGAGAAAAAAGAGTTTATTTCAGCTTGCAGCTTATAGTCTGTTTCAGCTTGTATGAAGGAAAGCCATGGCAGGAACTCAAGGCAGAAACTGAAATAGATATGGAGAAGTGCCACTTCCTGACCTTCCTCTCCCTGTCTTGCTCAGGGTGCTTTGTCATATAACCCTGGACCACTTACCTGGGAGAAGCACCATCCGTCATGAGCTCTGCTGGTCCACATCAATCATTAGTCAAGAAAATGGCCCCAGACACTTGCCTGCATGCCGTCTGATGGAGACAATTCCTTAACTGGCATCCCCTCTTCTGGATGACTCTGGCTCTTGTTAAGTTGACAAACAACTAACCAACACAAAGGGTGACAATCATTATCCCATGTCAATTCTGAATTTAGAGAACAAGTTTTCAGCTTTCCCATTTTGGTATGATGTTTGTTATAAGTGGCTTTTGTTCTGTTCAGATATGATCCTTCTATCTTAGTCTGTTTACAGATTTCATCATGGAGATTTTGCCTTTCTGCATTCATTGAGATGATCATGTGATTTTATTGTTGATTCTCTTAATGGCATCATATGTTTAGTGATTTGTGCATGTTCAACCATTCTTGCATCCCTGGCATGAAATCAACTTGATCATGGTATATGATCTTCTTAACCTGTTGTTGAACTAATTTCATGATTCATTTTTTGTGTATGCTCATCAGAGATATTGTTGTTTTTGTTTGTGCCCTTTTGGGGGACTTGAATAGCCAGATTTTCAAGGAGATACACTAATAACCCCTGTTCATCATTGATTGATTTTACAGTTTCATTGGTCTTTGTTTCATTGGTCTTTGTGTCATTCTTTTATATTCATCTTAAATTGTAATGCTGGTATTTATGATTCATCTCCATTCTCTGGATTTTGGATTGATTTGTTCTCATTTTTCTAAGGCCTTGAGATCTATCTAACATGAAAGATATATTCAAAATCTCTCTTATTTTTGATTGTAGTCATCAATAACTATAAAGTTAAGAAAATATTCTAAGAACTACCTCATTCTGTCCTATTAACTCTGCTGTGTTTCCATTTTCACTTTCTAGGATTTTTACCCACACACACACTTCTTCAAATACCTACCAATAATTCAAAAATTTATTAATTAAATCAGAGGTAGTGGTACATGCTTATAATCCTAATAACCAAGAGGATAAAGAATGAAGGTGACCATGAGTTTAAGGCACTCTTAGAATAAGGTACAGGCCAGCTTGGGATCCAGAAAGAGACATTGTCTCAAAACAAAATGATTATTGTTCTGTCTGAAAGTGTTTTAATTGTTTCTAAAGTTTCCCTTGACGTTAATTTTTTGCTTCATTCCATTTTGTTCTGTGTAACATAAAGAGCCGGCTTGTTGGGGTTTCTATCCCGCCCAGTACCCCACAGCTGGCAAGTTCCAAAGAAAATCACACGAATCTATATTAGGTTATAAGCTGATTGGCCCATTAGGTCAGGCTACTTATTAGTTCTTGTAACTTATATTAATCTATTATCATTATCTATGTTAGCCACACGGCTCAGTACCTTTCTCAGTGTGACAGCTCACATGTTGCCTCTTCGGTGATCTGGGCAGGAATGGCGGAGGGAGCTTCCTCCTCCCTAGCCTTCTCCTATTCTCATTGCCCCACCTCTACTTCCTGTCTGATTGACCTGCCTATACTTCCTGCCTGGTCAATCAGCGTTTTATTAAAATACATGATTGACAGAATACAGACAATTCTCCTGCACCAGTTCTGATAGGATATGAAAAATCATTCCTTTTTATTGTACGTGGTAAGATATGTTTTAATGGTATATAATAGGATGTGTTTTAGACATAGTTCCATGAGCAACAAACTCTGCTAGAAAGAGGGGACATTCTGTGTTACATGTTTTCCGTTGCCTGTAAGCATGGCTTTTTGAGGTCTAGCCTCTGCATAAAATTGGGAGTGTTCCATGTGCCAGCCCTCTTTCTCTGAATATCAATATTAAAGAGAAAATAAGCTGTACCCTTTCTAGGTCTTTGACCTGAATTTCACTACATATAATGTTTGTATAACTTTCTTTGTGATATTTCACTCCGGCCGCACTGAAATGTATGATAGGTGCCGGCAGGAACCTTGTGACAGTACTTGCTATGCTTCATGGAAAGGGACAATGGAGTAGTGACTTACATATCCAAGGGAACAAACTTGTGTGCCATCTTGCCAAGATGTCTTCTTAGTATAGTGTGACTGTTTTTCTGTTGCTTGCCAAGGGTTCTGGCAAGCAATGACAGGCTGCACACCATCAAGTTCTGATGAGTACAGCCTGTGTTTCTGCTCTCTTCTGGCGATGCCACTTTCTTTCCTGTGACTCTCCCTCTTTGCCTTTTTGTACCGCTCCCTTCTGGCCCACTGCCTGGCCATGGCAGGCTCAGCACTGAAATGCTACTTCTTACCGTTTGTTCAGGTAACCAGAGTGAGTATCTCATAGTCCACATAGTATTACATTTCGGTGCATCCCTTCAGCCACCAATCCTGGGGAGTTATTGTCTTCTTGCTGTTCTGATTCTCAGGTGCTCAGAAGACAGAAGAATAAAGCTCCTTGCTTCTAGTCTAGCATCTTAGCTCCTCCTATTTTATTTCTCGTTGACAAATAGATGGGGTGAAGTACTCTCTTCTAATGTAGCAGAGGGAAATCTCACAATCATGCAGAGCGGCCAAACATTTTCATCTTCTAGAAAAGCCTGAGACATACAGTTCAGTCACATCCTCTCCAGCATTGGACAACTATCTTCTCCCTTACTCCGGTGTCTGTGTACTGATGTCTTATAGTCATTACATTTTCATTTTCCTAATGACTAGTGATGAAGATGCGTGTTGCCCATCCATCCCTCTCTGTAAAGTGCCTGTTTAAGCCTTTCCCATATTTTACACATTGAATTGCTTGACTTTTTATTATTGTTTTATAAGAACATTTCAGCTTTCCCTGAAAAGATTCTGATACAATAGGGTCCTCTCTACTCTATAACTCTGATACAGACATGTTCAAGGTCTAGTATATTAGTTGGTATGTTAGTAATTTGCTAAGACTGCTGGTGTAATTTGGCAGTGATAAGTTGCATTTCTTTTTGTAACCTAAAGCCTTTCCTGAAAGTGATTTATGTTGCCAAGGGAGCCATTAGATGAATGGCGCCCAGTGGGTGCTTTTCTTTTGTCTGCACGTACTCTGAATTTTACCATTACACTTTAGCTAGAACATTCTCTAGAGTTGGACAATCAGATGTACGTTGAATACCAAGTATTATCATAGTTATTAAAGAGACTTCAGGTTGCCTTACAGGTTGGCTATCCTGCATCATATTTCATCCCTCCCAGAGGAAAATGTGGTCCTGAACTTAGAATTCCACATATAATCTGCATACCTTTCTAGTAAAGTTGCTTTGAAATCTTGCACCGTGAGTTAATGTTTCTGTGTAACAGTTTATGGAGCAGACAGCTTTCCTGACCCAAATGCTGTCTTTTGCTTCATGGTTCCTTGCACCTTCAGGCAGATTCACAGTGTGAACCAAGTAAGCTATCTGCTTAAGGGCCTTTGTTTACCCTCAGAGGAAGAGATTAAGTAAACAATTCCATACAGTTATTTAGTAAATCCTGGTATTTTTTTCTTTAAAGGGAAGTCTAGGTATGTAATTTGTTTTGACCCATGGTTCATGGATATAGAGGGTTGTAGTTCTAAATCAGGACGTTCAAGGTATAAGAAAGTTTTTGCAAGCTTATAAATCTGAAAACATGCCAATACACTTCCTCTCTCCAGAGGTGATTGGATTCCTTAGTAAGATAGCGTGTAGGTTTCATCATCTACGAAAACAGTAATTGGTGTGGTTTCTTTTAGGGAGCGTGTACAGGAGTTCCCTTCTTCCTTGGGAAAGAATTGGTAATCGATGTTCGATGCCCACTGTCCCTCAAAGAGAACAGACATTTGGACTGGGGATTTATCAGTTAGTAAGGAACTTGTCATGCAAACTTGAGGGCCAGACTTGAATCCCTAGAAGCCATACCTGAATCCCCGAATTCCTACAGTAACATGGGAGCAGAGCTAGGAGAAACCCCAAAGCAGTCCGGCTAACCTGGTGCACTGCAGTGAACAACAAAGAGACCCAACTATGGCATACATATGGCACAAACATGGTACACACACACACACACACACACACACACACACACACGTGCACACGCATGCACAGAATTTATTTTTTCTCAACATTGTGTATTTGACTTTTCAAGATAAAAAGTTCTAGGTATGCCAGAATGCCAACCCCTCAAATAATGCAGCATCTATGAAGCAGCTGATCTTCCTAATGTTTGGAGAGACCTACTGGTAACCTTTAGGCTTCCCATGTACAGGAATGGAGTAACTTAAATTCCAGAGGAGAAGGGTGTTCAGATCCTTGGAGACTCCAAATGACCTTTTGCTATGATTTGGATCTTCAATGTTCAACAGAGATCTATGTAGTAAAGGCTTATTCCTCGGGGCTGGGAGATCATGGTGCCATCTTTAAGAGGTGGGACCTAGAGGGAGGTCACCAGGCTTTGGGGCATTCTTCTGATTGGTTCGTGAGATTCCAGGCCCTTTCTCTGTTCATCTTTCATGCCCAGGCCATGAGGTAAGTGGTTTGCATCACCACATCCTCTCATCACGAGCTGCCACAGGTCCAAAGTCCCAGGGTCATACGGTCCTGGGAAACACTGTGAGCAGAAATGAACATTGCTTCTTTATAAGGTCATTATCTAGGGTGTGTTATAGATATGCAGCTTGACTCCGGGGACCTTGCCGGCCTTTGTGTTTATCTTAGATGATTTTGTGTAATTTCCCTGTGGTTGATGACTGGAAAATTACAGCCAGATCCTTCACTGCATCCACCATGGGGGTGGGAACGTTTTGGTGGGGAAGCTGGAGGAAGGTTTGACCTTCACCAGTCTCTCACTGCTGGTGATTCCCGTTCTTTGCTGCCAAGAACAAGAGAGATTTGAGAGCTGGGAGCTTAGGTCAAGGCTCTGGCTTGTGAAAGAAGCACGGACTGTCTCAGCTGTGCTTGTAAACCCCACTTACAACTGTGAAAATGTGACACTTCTTTAATGGCTTCTGCAAAGACCATGGGTCATTCTTACTCAGGGCTCTGGGGGAGTGAGGGGGAGGCTTTCTTAGTCTAACCAGTTACTTTTTACTTTTTACATTTCTATCAAAGGGACATGCTTCTTTCTCACCCTGGAGCAATGTGCTTGTTATTAATAGTCCTAAGACGTTTTTCTTTCTCCCCCCTCCCCATTTCTTTCTTCCTTCCTTTGGAACCTGTCCTGGAACTCGCTCTGTAGAACAGACTGGCCTTGAACTCACAGAGATACGCCTGCCTCTGCCTCCCGAGTGCTGGGATTAAAGGTGTGCCACCACTGCTGGGCCCTTCTTTCTTTTCTTTTCTCTTAAAATCTTCTACAATTGTATTCATAGTATATTCAGAAATGACTCACTTGAATGTAAGTCCCACCATGGGAAGCAGAGATTAATGAAGTGTATCCTCTTTTGTAAGCAAATTTGAAGATGATTGGGAAGTGGGAGATAACTTTGTGTCCCACATACAGCCATGTCCTTAGGAAATACATCCACAGCTTGCTGTCAGGGTTTCTTTGTCCTAAAGAGACATAACTGGGATGGGAGAGAGTTTTTGTTACAATCTATACATTCTGAAACACATAACAGTTTTTAAATCAGCCTTTTGGCTGCCATGTATTTATTATAAATTACAAGGATTCACAGAGAGAAAGGGCCAGAGTGCCTATCTTGTAGAGGGTAATTTGGAGCTTTTTAAAATTACTGGATGATGAGGTGGTTCAGCAGATGAAATGAGTGGGCACCAGAGTTCAGGTCACCAGAACCTTCTTAAAAACTGGCTGGGCGCGGCAGCCTACCTTTCATTCTAGAGCTCAGAAGGCAGAGACAATGGATCCCCTGAGGCGATCTGACACCTACATTAGCCCTTATTGGCAGCTTCTGAAAAAAGTGAGAGGATCTGCCTCAATAAATAGAATGGAAAGAGGACTAGGAAGACTTCTCATGTCAGCCTGGTGCCTCCATGTAGACATGCATGACCCAAACACTTGCACACATATACACATCTACATATGCATGTGAAGATCACACACACACACACACACACACACACACACACACACACAGACACATACCAGTCATTTCCCACAGGCGTGGATCTATCTTTCAGCTTACAGTGGGAAATGACATGAACACTCAACCCTAAGTATTTTTGGCCTTCTGTTCCCCATACGATACAATAAGGCTAACGTGGGGGTTTGGAGCTCTCCCATGTCTATGGCGATGGAGAGAATGTTTGCGTTATTACTGTCTCTCCTTTTTTTCCTGCCACCTGCTCACTTGGACAGCACAGGGACCTGGGCCTGGAGAGTCAAGAGGACAAGGGAAAAGGAAAGAGGGCAATGAGAGGAAACAGTGCACGGGCTCATAGGATCACATGATCACAGGGTGATACAGTATCCTTTTCTTGAAAGTCGGCATTTGTTTACTTTGTTTTTCAATGGGTGCAACAGCAGAAGCAGGTGTGCGGTGACCAGTCTCTGAGATACCAGAAAGGAATGGGGGGACACGCCTAGCTTCTTCATGTATCCAGTGGTTTCCATGTGAACAGTATCATAGCAAATGGAGCCGCAGAAAATCACCCAGATCTCCAAGCCTGCACCTGTGTCATCTGCACCGAGATCAGAGAGTGGGGTGGGGTGGCTCCTGCACTCCAGGAGACCCTCTGCCCCCTCTCTGTGAGCTACTCCACCACAGATTGCCATTATCCAGACTGTAAGTCCATAGATACCTTGGACTGCCTTGTACTCTATATAAATGAACTCAGTATGCGGTCTCTGTACCTGGCTGCTTTTTCTCACTGTTCTGTGTGTTTTATCTGCAGTGTTGCATGTAATAGCAGCTGACTGTTGCTCTTTGAGCCAGATAGTCCATTGGCTAGTATAGTCTTTCACCAGTTCCGTTGCTGAAGAATATTTTGGTTGTTTCTGTAACAGGACTGTCAACATTCACATCCCCTGGATCTAATTCATGAACACCTGTTAGCATGTATTTGTCTATATGATTTATCTCCATTGACCTCAGGACTATAGCCCCAGGCCTCAGGAGGCTGGAGTAAGAGAGTCCTGAGGTCAAGGCCAGCACAGGGAGTATAGGGAGATAGCCCTGCTTCAAAGCCAAACCCAAACAGAAAAGGAAGCAATTGTCCTAACAAAAGTCAAAGAAACAAAAATGCAGGTTTTTTTTTTTAAAGTCTTGTGTTTGTTAAAGGGCAGGGCATAAACATTTTCAGGTTTCTCTTGGCTGACTAGTCTCTAAGGGTGGGACTGCCAGGGAGGAGGAGGCTGTAAAATGTACATCTTTACACAACCCTCAACGTTGAGCTCCGTCTTAAAAATGTTAAAATTTGCCGAGTGATTCATTCCATCAACTAATTGCTTTGATCTTTAAAGTCCCCAAACAGTTGAAAGAAACAGAAAGTGGGAACTCCCTGTGCTCACACAGACAGATTCTCTGTGGAGACAGCACCCTGAGATCTGGAGCACCCAGCTAGCTCCAAGAACAAACCTCTTGTACTTACACAATATATGACTGTAAGTCTGAGAGCCACAGTAGTTCAGGTTCTCTGTAACTTCTGCCTGTGATTTAATAAGACACTCTGGGAAGTTATAAACCCATGCTGAAATGTGCTGTATAGGCGAGACACACATACACACACACACACACATGACACATGCACATTCACTCACATGCTTGTGTGCACAAAGAACTTATGTTTTCTAAAACACAAAATAGCTCAATAACTCTTTATATTGTTTCTTTGTACATGCATATGTGCAAGTCTGTGTGTAGGCTTGTGTGCGTGTGTATCTGTGTGTATGTGTGTGTGTGTGTATGTATGTTGGATATGTGTGCATGTCCGTATGTGTATGCAGATAATGTGTGTGAGTGAATGTATGGATCCACAAGACAACCTCAGGTATCATTCTTTTCCCCACCATCTGCACTGTTGTTTGAAAGAGATTTTCTCATTGGCCTGAATGTCACCCAGCAGGCTAGACTGGATAGCCAGACAGTCCCAGAGAGCCTCCTGCCCCCTCAGCACTGGAATTCAAGGGCCTACACCCTGCTCTTAACTTGCATTCTGGGGGATCAGACTAGGTCCTCATGCTTCTACGACAGACACTTTACCAACTTGGCTATCACACCAGCCCTGATTTTATTTTAAAATGATGATACTGTGGGCCTACTGACTTAGACCCCTCGTTAGACCTGATCTCGTCTATTTCATTTGACATATTTATGGAAGCTGCAACATATTTTAATGGCATTTGTGGGTTGTATTATGCTTCTGTTTCATGTCTAGATCAGCTTGTCTTGCAAATATTGTTCATTGTGAAAAACAATTTGCTTTACAGGGCCGGGGGAATGCGACGCAAGTGCTTCTTTTGTGTGTCTGTCCATTATTCCACCGCACACGCAAGTTTAGTTTGGTTGCAACTCTTGCCTGTCGCCATAACATAGCTTTTACTACAAGATTAATACACATTTATTTACTATAAATTATATACAGAGATAAGAGACATGTTCTAGTATTGTGGCCTTTTGATGAAATAAAACGCCCCTTTAGTCTATTTATTCATTCATTCGATTAAAAGAGATTGAATTCTTTGTTGTTTTGACAACAGACAATGCATTGGAGATTTGGTGGCCAGCAAAGCATGGCCGCTGCCAGGAAGTGGCTTCCAATCAAATGGAATAGAAAGGCAAGAAAGGGAAGTGAGTTCATAGAAAGTGCAAGCCCAGGGGGACCCAAAAGGCTTAATGGAGTGTGGCTCAGACACCCCTGACCGAAATCCATCCTCTCCTCTATTACTGGGCTTTTTTTTTTCTTCCTGAAATAAGTCCATTTACTTTCTACAGAGAAATCAGAGTGTCAGGAAGATACTTGGAAGGCTTAGCATGCATATGGAAATTCAACATACATATGTAAATCGGTTGTTAAAGAAGCATTCTTTTGCCTGAGGCATAGGGTGCTCTTGCAGATGCCAAGGTGAAGAATCCAGCCATTGTCATAACTCAGTAAGGGATCCAGTATGAGTTTCTTAAAAGAGCCTGTGTTCCTTTCCAGCACTCACTTGCTCCTGTGAGTGACCTGCCAAACAACAACCTTGGCTGGTAGAAAGCATTCTAAGCAAAAAGAAGGACAGAGAGAGAAGGACACCTGAGGATTGTTACTTGTGAGGACAAGAATACACCACCATCTACACAGCATATGTGGCTCCAGAGAGTGGACGCCATTCATCTGGTGCCTGGAAAAGGACCCTGCACAGATATAAGAAGCAGAGACTTGATGCTTGATTACCTCTTAGCATAGATTCCATGCTGCCTACGGTGCTTAAGACTCGCCCAACAGGAGGGATATCACACCTGGCATTGGGAACCCAGGTAATCTGGGGCTAGCAAAATCATGAATCTTAGGGAAGAACCTACTCCTGCCACTTTTATAAAGCAGTCTAACTGTACTCTAAATGCTTACCCTTATGCTCACAGTTAGGTACAGCTCTCATTCCACCATCAAAGGAGGGGTGTGTGTGTGTGTGTGTGTGTGTGTGTGTGTGTGTGTGTGTGTGTGACAGACTGAAACCATTAAGGTGGTGGTGGTACACCCCTTTAAACCCAGCACTCTGGAGGCAAAGGGAGGCAGATCTCTGTGAGTTTGAGGCCAGCGTTGTCTACACAGTGATCTCCATAACAGCCAGGTCTGTTAAACAGAGTAACTCTGTCAAGGAAGGAAGAAAGAAAGGGAGAGAGGGAGGGAGGGAGGAAGGAAGAAAGTAAAAGACTCACAGAAATCTACAATTTGTCAAAATACACCTACCTGTGTGATGTCTAGCCCTAATTGGTATATCTACAAGACAACCCCTAAATCCAAGGGGAACGTCCTGGAAGGGGGGCAGAAAAATTCTAAGTAACAGAGGACCAAGAAATCTGCTGTGAGATTGTGTCTCCTAGAAATGATAGGGAGTTACAGTCATGACACCTCAACAATATGGCTGCCTAAGCAAGACCCGAACAAAGAAGACATCAAAAGACGTGGAAGGGAGAGATCTCATGGCCTGACCCCTAGACAGAGAACGACAGGGAATTAATGACGAGAGGGAGGGAGAGAGAGAGAGAGAAAGAGAGAGAGAGAGAGAAACACTAGTCTTCCCCAGGGATAACCCCCCCCTGGTTGGTTGTGCAACTATAAGTTATCCACCCTAAAAACAAATATGACTAACACTAAAGATATTCAATAGGTTGTATTTATATATTTACTTGTTTTACAGAAAATATAAAATTGATAATGAGAAAGAGGCAATGAATTTGAGAGGGAACAGGGAGAAGGTGCATGGGAGATACTGGAGGGAGGAAGGTGATGGGGTAAATGATGCCATTATATTTTAATACAAAAGAATTTAAAGTGCATTTCCATATGAATTTTAGGATTGCTTTTTCTAGTTTGGTGCAAAATGTGATTAGAATTTTGATGCAGATGAGATGGAATTTATAACTGGCTTTCAATTATATGCCAACCTATGGGTAATGGAACA